GTACTTAAAGGGGGCAACATTTATTCAGTTTTATAACTAGCCATTTGACTTAAATAATTAAGCTAAAAGCAAATATAATTTTTTTTCTTTTTTTTTTTTTTTTTTGGAAGTTAAAAATACAAAACATATATTAATTTTTTTATTGTTAATTTTAAATTTGTTTTTAATTTTGTTTTTAATTTTAATTTTGTTTTTAATTTTAATTTTAATTTTAATTTTATTTTTAATTTTATTTTTAATTTTAATTTTATTTTTAATTTTAATTTTAATTTTAATTTTATTTTTAATTTTATTATTAATTTTATTATTAATTTTATTATTAATTTTATATTAATTTTAATTTTATTTTTCATTTTGTTTTATTTTTTAATTTTATTGATTTGATTTATTGACGAATTATTTATGTTTCGTTTTATCTTTCATGTATGTTACTATATGTTTTTATATTTTCAACAAAAAGTATAAATTGATAAAATCAAAATTTTATAACTTCGAGTACATTATACAATTTATATGTTTATGTATACATATAATGTATAAATGAAAAAAACAAAACATAATTAAATGATGATATTTTAAGTTTAGTCTCTCGGGTCTGATATAGAAGATGATGATAACGACTTTAAAATACCTGATATATGTTTTTTTGTTTTTTTTTATTTTTTTTTTTTTTATTTTTTTTTTTTTAAGTATAACAAAAAAAAAAATAAATAAACAAACAAACAACTTAAATAATTTTCATATGTATATAGTTTTATGTACATTGAAATATTATTATATGCATATATTTATTTTACAAAATACGACACAATATTGAAACTATAATTAAAGCAATTTTACATCATTACGTTTCAGTTTTGTTTAAATAGAATATAAAAAAAAATAAAGTAACTCATTATATGTAACATTGTACATATAATATATATATATATATTTTAAATTTATTATGCAAAACTTTGAGTTCTAATATTTTTTTTTTTATATTAATAAATACTTATGAAATAAGTTTTGCTAGAATAAATAGTAAAAGGTTTTCCAGCTTGAAAATTGATTTGTGTGTTTATACACGCTATTTAATTTTCTCGTTTTTAACCGTACATTATATATATATACATGTACATATACACATACATATACACATATGTACATGTACATATACACATACACATACACGTACATATACATGTACATATATACATACGCGAACAAATATATTAGCAAAAATTTGTTGATAAGTACTTAATGTACATATTTGTCCTTGCGTATGTATGTATGTATGTGTATGTAGGTATGTACGGTACATAATGATATAGTTAAATATAATTAACTATAAAAAACAAAAATATTAAAACTTATTTTTATTTTTTTAATGATGACATTAATACTTGGTCTGTGTTACTGAAGTTAATATTGTGATGATAAAATAAGTTTTATCGACTGAACAAAAAATAAAATAAGTAAAAACGTATATAAATAAAAAAAAAAAAAACTATAAAAAAATGATACATACATAATATATGTATATGTGCTTGTGTATATGTACTTGTATATATATTATACAACAACATATGTGCATTAATTTTTTTAGCGAATCAATTTTTTCATATTGTTATAAATAATTTAAAAAAAAAAAAATAAACATCCTAAATAAATAAGAATGTTAGATAAGCCTACAAAAATAGTATGTCATGTGTATATATATATATATATTATATATTTTTTTTTTTTTTTTTTTTTTTTGTTACTATTTGCTTCCCTTATTAAAACAAGAATGTGAATTATATTATACCGTTACAACGTGTATACTCTGTTTTCACATTTTTATTTTTTAGTAACTGAAACATAAGGGAAAAAAAACATATATTTTTATCACATATATTGTTTTTTTTTATTTATAAGTTCTTTATAAATAAAAATATAAATCAATCATATATATGTTTCATGCCGTATAGACAAAATGAATATATATAATTAGAAAAAAAAAAAAAATAAAAAAATTAATAATAAAATTAACAATAATAAAATAAAAACGTTTTATATCATGACATATATTAGCAAATATGTGTTAGTTATAACATCGTGTAAAATAAAAAAAAAAAAAAAAAAAATTACATAGTCACGTCGAAATATATATATATATATATATATATATATACACATGTTTATGTATGTGCCATTTTTAAATTGTAAAGACATGCAAAACCTAACGGGCAGGATTTTTTCAAAAATAATGAAATTAATCATAATCAGTTTAGGTGACAAAAAATTAAAGTAAAAAAAAAAAAATTGTAATTTTTTTTAACGATTTACAATGCTTTTTTTTTTGCTTTAATAAAAAAATAAATAAAAAAAAAAAAAAAAAAATTAATTCACATATGTATATATAGGTAGTATGTAATATTACGTGCATATATATATGTGTGCTTTTTCGGTCACATTAATATATATGAAGTCGAAATAGAATGTGTTTTGTATATAATTACTATTTTTTTTTTTTTTTTTTTTTTTTTTTCCGTTTTTTTTATTAAAGCTATTTTCATATTATATAATATGTTTGCACAAAACACAGTAAGTAAACATATGACGTGTCCACAAATACTTGGTAGAAATGTATTGCGTAAATTTTTCTATGAACGTAGTGACGTGTGATATATATATATGTATGTATGTGTATATATATATGTATGTATGTGCAGTTATAATAATGTGAGTCATTTATTTTTTACTTCGCTTAATATACTCTAAAATATCTAACCGTTCAACCGAATTAATTGTTTTTTCAAAAAAATTTCTGTCACATTCTAAATATGCATTAGCATCTGACATTGTAGTACCTTCATTAATACTTGACTTGATATTTTGTAATATGTGTGTTGGAATGAATAAAAATTGATAAGCAAAAAAAAGTGTAAAAATAAAACTATCGTCATTTATTTTATTTTTAAATAAATTATATAAAAAAATATCATGAAAATATTTAATAATTTCTTTTTTTATGATAGTAAATTTTTGTTCATTTGTTTTTATTTGATCAAAAGAAACATTTGAATTTTTAATATAAAAATGTTCATTTGTTTTTAAACATATATCAATTAAGTTCATTTTTAAAGCATCTTGTGCATTTATTGCCTGACTTGTTAATAATAAAAATTTTGAATATTTCATAGAAATTTGACGAAAAATTTTTTGTATACTACCTCCATATGGATATAAACCAATATATGTTTTATCAAAACCAAATCTACTCTTTTCACTCGAAATACAAAAATCGCTTGAAAATAAAACATCCATCCCACAATTGTAACATAATCCATTTATATTGCTAATAGTTATAACAGGTAAGTTTTGTACATTATTACATAACATGCGAAACATATTTGATATATGTATATTCATTTGTTCATCATTTTTTAAATAGGAGTTATAATCTAATGAATTTAAAAAAATATCTGTTGAATCGGTGCCATTATTATTGTTACTCTCTGTAGTAGAATTATTTTTTTCATTGGAATTATCACTTACCTGATTTACATCAGTTACCCCAGTTTGTTTTATTAAACTACTGTTAATTATTAACACTTTTAATTTACTATCGTAATAAGGTATATTGTTTTTTATATTTTTCACTAAATAATTATCTGTGTTTTTAAATTCTTTTATATAATGAGAAATTTTACTTTCTTCATTTGTTATAATATTATTTATATGTTCTATAACGTTTTTAAACTCTTCTAAAAATTCTTGAAATATATTTTTTTTTGTATTTATATTTTTAAATGTTATTATTCCAATATTTCTTGTTTCGTCTCGAAAAAAATCAACATATTTATGATTACTAAAGGTAATATTTTCTTCTTTTTCTTCCTTTTCTGTTTTTTCATTGCCATTACTTTTATCGCTACTACTATCACTATTACTACTTTCACCATTACTATTAACAACTTTTCCCTTCTCACTTATATCCATTTTAAACCTTCTTATATAATTAAAACTACTACATATACTACCCCTTTTTTTTATAGTTGTATGAAATATTCGTTTATTCACAACGCCGCTTAAAAAAAAAAACTTCCGTACTAGCATTTTTTTTTTTTTTTTATATGATGTTTAAAAACAGATATAAAATTTATGTGTTATATGTCTATATTCGTTTTTTTTTTTTTTTTATCTAACATACATGTTGTTCGCAAATAAACAACTTACAATATGTGCTTGCTTTAATACACTTGTAATAGCAAGAAAAAAAAAAAAAAAAAATTATAATAATAATTATAATAATAATTATAATAATAATTATAATAATAATTAACGAATTAATGAGGGTAATATGTAATAAATCATTTATAAAACAGTTGGAGGCCAAACATATTACATATATCCATAGTTGACACTTGTGCTTGAATAAAGTTTTATGCTTGATAATGTTATAAAAAAATAAAAAAACACATATGTATATGAAATAATGTAAAAACAAGAAAATAAATTACATATATGTTAATAAGTAATAAGCACATGTATTTATGTCAAATTTTCATAGCTTAAAATAAAAAAAGAATGAAAAAAAAAAAAAAAAAAATAAAAAAAAAAAAAAAAAAAAAAAAAAATTAAAAATGTGACAATAAACTATTTACAAAAAAATGTATACGAAATGTTATATCTTTAAAATAGAAAAAAAATATATATATATATATTATATATATATATATTTTTTTTTTTAAGAAAATTGTGTAAACTGAGATACATATTATTTCAAATAAAATAAATACGAAGTTCTGTTATAAATATAAGCATAAATATATATATATATATATATATAAATAAGTTTATAACATTTAAACAACTTCATGTTGCAATTTTGTTTACTATATATATATATATTATATGTATACATGTACGTGCATGTATATGTATAAAAAACTGCGCAAATATGTTGAACAAACGGTTACTCCCATATACAACATCAAATAATACTAAAAAAATTTGTGATGTAATACTCTAAACACATTTTATAATATAAATTTGACATTTTTAATCAGAATCTTCAACTAAATTCGTTTCTGCGGCAACTTTTTTCCATCGTTCTACTAACTTCAACTACAAGAAGGGAAAAATAAAAAATAAAAAAGTCAGTATATACATACGTACATACATTAACACTTGTGCCACGTATATACTATCCTAAGACTAGTTAAAATTATTTACATATTACAGTAGATAAAAATATTGTATACCTTTTTTTTATGAAGGAAGTTAGACGACTCTAGTTTTGGCTCCATCCTATTTTTTTTTTTTTTTTTTTTCTCTGGGTATTTATCACCTATTTGGTAAATGAACAAAAGGACGGTATATATATATATATATATATGTATGTATATGTACGTATATATATGCTTATGTATGTATACACATTTGTGTAACAATTTTTATTACTTCTTTTACTTTCTCCTTCCGTACTTATATTTTTGGATATTAAATAAACAGGTGGTTCATTATAATTTGTATCCACTGTGTCCTTTACTGGTAATGGCACATTTAACATATTCTGCGATAAATCATCCAACAATGTACTTTTCGATTTATCTACTACATATTCGTTAGACTTCTTATCGTCTGCATTTTTTTCTATATCTAATTCATTCTAAGGAAAAAATAAAACAAAAAAAATAATAGTAATAATAAAAAAAAAAAATAAATAAACAGTAATAAAAAAAATAATAAATAAACAGTAATAATAAAAAAAAAATACAATAACAAAAAAGCATAAAAATAAAAATAGATCTTTTTTTTTACCAATGTGTTCGTATATATTTCGTTTATTTTTTTTAAAAAGTATGATTCACTTATTTCATTTCTTCGAAAATCTTCCTATATAAAATGAATAAATAGATGAATTATTATGTATAAATAAAAAATAAAGAATTAGCAAATATATTTTACTTTGTATTAACAACTTGCAAAATAACATGGATATATATATATATATATATGTATATGTGTGTATGTGTGTATGTATCCCTTTTTTTAAAACAAAAAATACAACTCTTTTCTTTTTTTTTTTTTTTTTTTTTTTTATAATTAAAATTACTATTCTGATATCTAGCGATTTTTTGGTAGCTATTATAAAATCCTTATTCTTTATACTGCATAAATTCTCACTTATTTTTAATAGTAATTTGTTAAAAAAAAAAAAAAAAAAAAAAAAAAAAAAAAAAAAAAGTCATGATAGGAGAGAAAAAAAAAGTGATGTAAAATTAAAATAATTAAATATACTATTACGCACACATATTCATGCGCAACAGAACTAATATTGTTATATTTTTTGGTATTTATTTTATTATTACATCGCTTGTACTTTCTGATTCTTTTAGACCTAATTCTAAGTAAATTACATCCTTTAAAATGTCATCTGATTTTTCTGTCATTTCATTATTTTTACATTTGTCATTATTATTTTTATTATGTTTATTTTCTTTTTCATATGTATCAAGAACTTCTTTAATAAAATTTATTTCTTCAAGGAATAAATGGATTTTAGATTGTACTGACAATTTATTGTCGTTTTTTTTTTTTTCAATTAATTCATCACCTTTTTTGCTAAGCTGTTTTTCTACTCCTACATTATAAACATCACCATCACCACCATCACCATCATCTTTATCGTCTTGTCTTTCATTCACTAAATCTTCTATTTCGTTGAAAAAATTTTGAATTTCTGTAACATAAATTTGATGTATAAGTACAAATTGTTTTCCAAAATAGTAAAAAAATTAATAAGAAAATAATATATGTATGTATATGCACAACTACTTTATGTTACTGTTATATATTAATAAAAATGTATAATTAATGGATTGGTGAAAATATATATTAATACATATGTGTATGCACGATAAAGACATATATAATATAGGCTCATATGAAAAACATATACACATATACAGCCAACAAATGTATAGATATATATATATATATATTGTATTTTTTTTATACGAGAGCTCTTTTTAAAAATAAAACGTTAATTTAAAATTAGTCTCCAATTTATAATAATGGTATGGTTCGTTTTCATTTTATTTTTATATTCAAATTAATGTGTTTAAATACTAAGACAAGGTATATATAAATATATATATATATATACATATATACCGCAATAGTAAGTTTTCCCTTTTTTTAGGTTGTATTAAGCTTTGTAAAAAACAGTAAAAGCAATAAAAAAAAAAAAAAAAAAAAAAAAGAGGGATGTATCATATAAATGACAAAAATCAAAAATATTTGTATAATCTTCGTTTTGCATATTCCTTTTTCTGTTTTTTAATCTAACCTTTGTCACT